CCTCCAACTCAAAAAAAAAAAAAAAGCAATGAATGAAAACATATTATCAGATGCTACCATGTAAGCACATGTAAGCACAAAGGAAGACAGTAAGAAAGGAATAGAAGAGTTATAAAACAATCAGAAAACTAGTAACAAACTGGCAGTAATAGTGGATCCTAAACTAGCAATAATAACATTGAAAGTAAATGAAATAAAATTTTAAGGAAGATAAAATACATTTATAGTAATGTGTTGTAGTCACAGATACCATAAGTTTACTACAACTGTTTACAAGATGAATCATCTGTCTGAAACGGTGGATAACCACAGCTTCAGACCCCAATCTATGGTACATACCAAGCAATTCAATGTTTGTTTTTTTTTTTTGAGTCAGAGTTTCACTCCGTCGCCCAGGCTGGAGTGCAGTGACATGCTCATGGCTACCCCAGCGTTAACCTGCTGGGCTCCAGCGATCCTTCCATCTCAGCCTTCCAAGTGGCTGGAACCACAGGCATGTGCTACCACGCCCGGCTAAATTTTGATTTATTGCAGAGACGAGGTCTCGCCAAGTTGCCCGGGCGGGTCTCGAACCCAGAGGCTCAGGCTGTCCACTCGCCTTGGCCTCCCAAAGTGCTGGGATTACAGGCTGAGACACCATGCCAAGCGTTATATTCCATATTTGGGTTTTCAGTTGCGTTGAATATATTTTTCTACCCCTTCAAATAAAAATGTAGAGTAGCTGAATGGATAAAGACAAAAGACCCAAATATACTCTGCCTTCAAGGTACCCACTTCACCTGTAGATGTTCATAGACTGAAAAAAGAGCAAGAGTAGTTACACTTGTATCAGATAAACAAAGACTGTTCTTGCTTGATGCAGTTTATGTTCTCCATGTTTTCTTGTAATGTTTAGCAATGGTGTACAAGGGGGACCCCAAACCACCTCAGAATTATCTTTTTTTGGGAGGGGGTAAGTTCCTTATAGTATAGGCTTCCCCTGCTGGTTAAGTGTTCTGGGAACCCAATGGCATCAGTGTACCAGCTAGCATTGTTGTGACCGTTATTGTCACATGGTGTTTTAAGCAAATGTTTGCAACACTTGAACTCACTGCAATAATAGGAGGTGGTTACAAAATTATTGCAGTAGTATACTATGTACTATAGCTGATTATATGCAATTATCATTTAATGCTGCATGTTTACATTTGTTCACATTTATCTCAATTAGAAATGATGCTATATGGTCTTTGCATAAGTTTTGATGCATTTTAACTTTTTACAATAGATTTGTGTATATATAGTGGCAGTAAATGATAAAATAGTCTAGCATCTATATATACTTTTTGCATTCATAACATACTTAACTTTTTCTTAATTTTCCTGTATTTCTAAGCTATGCAGTTCATCTGTAAGTTTTTTCAGATTGTTACAAATTTCCAAAAAATTTTAAACATATTTGTGGGAAAAAAATCTGCAGAAAAGAGCCCTTGCTCAGTTCAAATCTGTGTTGTTCAAGGGTCAATTGTATATTTTAAAACAGATATTTTAAAGAGACATGGTACAGCCGGGCTCGGTGGCTCAGCCTATAATTCCGCGCCTTGAGAGGCTGAGGTGAGTGGATTGCCTGAGCCCGTGGGTTCGAGACCCGCCTGGGCAACTTGGCGAG